TTGATCTGGCCGGATTGGGTCCAAACTCCAAACCTGTTTGGAGCCCCAAACCCTGGTAGGTGGACCCTCCCAGGCAGTCCATTCCATCCATCCTTGCAGTCCATTCCGTCGGCGCCCCGACGGGGTGGCCGTGGCGACCGGCTCCAACCGGCTTCCTGTGGGCGCACGGCGGAAGGTGGCCGGGGGTGATCTACCTCGGGAGGTCTTTCGTTCTGGGGCGCAACACCTCCACGTGCTGATGCCAAGAATCCTTACGGGTTTCTCCACCCAGTCACCCAAGGCGGAGCAGTCGGAGCCGGTTCGCCCCGGATGGTGTTGCGTGGCGGCCCGGATTCTCAGGGTATCTACCCTAGGGCTCCTGGCCCATTGCCTCAGGTGACCGGTGGTCTTCGACCCCCCCCCTGGCAACCACCCACCTCTGGCCCGCACCGAAACGGAGGTGGGCCAGGAGCCCAAACGGGCTATTGATCCGGTCGGTCGGAACATCCGACGTCTGGAGATGGCTTCACGTGACGTCTGGAGGGGGAACCGTGGAGTTTCAGGTGAGGGTGATCCATCACTTCAACGAGTTCGGGTGGAGTTTGCGTGTCTTCCTTTTGTAAAGGTGATCTTTTTGAGGGCAACATATGGCAATCCAGGTATTTACTGGGTCACGCTGGACTTGTAGGGAACGTTTTGCACCTTTTGGACCGCACTCTGCTGATCTCTGATGCATCGGTGGGGTGGAAGCGAAGCCATGCGAAGCCATGCGAAGCCCCCAGCCTTGCAGCTCCATTTGCAACCCTGGCACTGGACTGCTGAAACGGCTGAAAACGAGCGAACGCGGCGGTTTCATTCATGACATGCTGCCACCAGCCGCGCATCACAAGAGCATGAAACATGACAGTGCGTGTGGATTCCCACATATTCCAGAAACATCCCAAAACAAGTTCCACGTGCCAGCCACAAAGAAGTGCTTATTGGAGGTTCAGTCGGGATGTCATCCACCCACTCACTGGATGGGATTCAAAGACACACCAACTCCCAGCACCTGACTCTACCGGTCTCCGATGGCTGGAGGGTTGGGCCCTGTCACAGGTTTCCATTGGTGACCTGTTGGCCGTTGGTCCATGCGACTCCTGGGTATGTCCTTTGTCTTCGCCAGGGCCTGTGTGAAGAAACGGGATCACTGAAGACACCGGTGACCTGGGCGTTCCGGCAGGGCAGTGCTGGCTGACAGCTCGATCACCCGGACGTGACCCACAAGGAGCCGAACGAGCCACTCCACGAGCCGAACGGACCACCAAGGTCTTTTTAAAGAGGAAAACCAAGGCTCCAACGGCCTCCCTTCTTCCGTTCTTCCCGTGTTCCGCCTGCGCGGAAGGCGAAACGACGCGTTCACGTCGCGTTTCACGACGCGAAACGTCGTGAGCGACTGAGAGTCCCCACAACTTGGCGGCGCGCGCCTCGTGCGCGGATCGAAACGGTCGAGGGTCCAAAAACCGCTGCGCTCAGATGCTCACGTGGCGCAGATGCTCCGGTCGATTCAACATCGCCAAAGCGTTTGGGCCATCGGAGTCAAAGACTAGAACATGGTCTTTATAGGTGACCCGAGTCCAGGAAGTTCTGTTTACTTCAGTCGGTCCAACATATAGTCGGGACTTACTTCAAGGGTAGGGATTGGTTCGACCCCCAAAACCCCTCCAGAGCATTCAGGTCCGACCCCCTCCATGTTTTCGGGTCCATGAGCATCTGGGCGGAAACAAAACAGCGGAAAAAACCCCTTGCGATCCGTTTCTGGCTGCTCTCTAAGATGGACATACCCGCAATGTCCAACCACAAGATGGTATATTTCACGGTCTTTCACATCTTTCACGGTATTTCACCCCAAAATCGACGCGCCCCAAATGCTGCACCCGCAGCGTTTAGCGTTTCTTTTTACGGCCAAAGGCTGGACGAATACAGTGACTTCCACGCAGGCATTGGGGGGGGCGACCAAATCAGTGTGGCCCGCGGGGCCCTCCCGTCTCGGTCGCGGTCCCGTGCCTCGACGGGAGCAGCAAGCACGGTTGGAGCTGCATAGCCTCACCAGGTGGAAAGACGAACGTGAAAACAAAGGCTTCGTGAACTTCGTGGATCGGATGGAGGTACTATGACGGTCCTCGAAAAAAAGGAAAGGACACCGCCTCACGCCCTCTCCTGCCAATGTCTTTCAACAGGTCACAGATGGTCACAGCTTTTCCTGTCCTGGCCGTGCCTCCCCGTCCGCTGCGCCCGTGCGGCGTCGTGGGCGTGGAGGGCATCTGAGCCGTTCGACCGCGTCGACCGGTACGGTCCGTGCGAGCAGAGACGGCCGCTGCGAGCAGAGACGGAGCTGGGGCGCCGGGCAGTGAGCGGCGCTTCCCTGGGAAAAGGGTGGGGGGACCAGAGGTAGCCAGTGACCTGAACTAGGACCCTACAGGGGTACCTATAGGATCGTCTATAGGGTTGTACCTATAGGATAGTCGAACTAGGGTTCTTCAACCTCTGGGAGAGGGCACGTCGTGGGAAACGCCTTTGGCTGGGAAGTGAGGAATTGGTCCGTGGTGGGAATTGGGTGTTTCGGGAGAACTGGGCGGCGAAACATGGGTGTTTCTTTTGGAAGAGAACTCAAACAACAACTCCTATAGTTGCCTAGAACCTGAATGACCTCTATCTTGGATCACCAACCACCCAAAATAAGGTCTTTTCCTATCAAAACAGAGGTCAAATGCGCTCTGGGGACTCTAGGGTATACACAGGGTGTCTACCTAGAGAACTTCACACTTCCCGGTCCTACCTCCGCCTGACCGCCCCCTCCACGCCTGCAGGTGGGCACCGGCACTGATGCCGTGCCGCCTGAGCCGGAGGCAGGTCCGGAGAGGCTGGGTCAGAGGGCCGGACGCTCCAAGTTCACAGCCATACTTCAGGTCCCTCAGAAACCTTAGGGGATTGGTTCGGGTCCGGTCCCCTCTAATATGAGGATGCAGGCCCGGGTCCAGGGTCGCGTCTGGCCAATCGATTGTGAACATGAAGGTCGTGGCAACCGCACATGGAGATGGGGTCAGTGCCGTGCGTGTTAGACCCCCTTTTCAATCAACCATCCCTTTTACAGCCGTAGTTTCACTCGGGCAGTGGTAGTCCCAGACAGGTCGTGTCTCCACTTCTGAGCTTGCTGACTGGTGATGGACACGTTTTGCCTCAGACCATACCTGGCCACTTGAGGCGTGTCTCGAAGCTTGCCGCGCTTGGAAGGCGCCGGAGCGCGAGCGAAACGAGCGAGACACGAAGGAACGAGCGAGTCAATGCCTCGGCGGGTGGTTCAGGAACACCTGCCAACCGGTTGGATGGATGTAATCCCTGTCCATTTCCAGTGAGTGGGAGTGTAAGATGAACCACCTACTCAACCACCCAGGAGACGGATGGTTCTTAGACAGAAAAGACCTCTTCAGGAGGGTAGCAACCGAACTGGGTGGTGCTGGCATTTTAAGAATGGTCTTGGACTTCAAGGGATACCGACTGGGTTACTGTATACGCCATTCACATGGACCCCTTTTCGATCCATCGCGCGTGCCATTCACCCCCATCCCGAACGCGCCCCCTCCCCCCCGCCGCTCGGAGTTGGCTCCATTCCCCGGCCTGGGCGAGGCCACTGCCAGCGCAGTGTTGGAGGCCGAGGCCGTCGCGGTCGCTTCCTGGACGGTGGAACGAGAGGTCAGGCGGACACGTGGCGAGGCCGTAAGAATCACGGTTTGGGTCTAATGAGTTGTTTTTGCGGGTCAATGGCTTGAAGATGCGTCGATTCTTCTTTGCAGGTTTCTGTCTACCATAATGACAACTCTTCTCGCATCCTGGCATCATTAATGCAAGATGTGCAAGCCCTCATGATGCTTTTGCATGCAGCATGTCCACACGACCAGGAGGCCGACCCGCTGGATGGGCACCAAGGACGCCAACCTGGGTCGGTCGCTCCATCGAGCTCCAGGATTTCCCATCAACTTCCCTCATGAATTCCCCAAAAGAGGTACCATGAGGTACCTGGATCTGACCTGCCTATGCCAAATTGCCGACCTTGGCTGATTTGATGGATGAAGTTCGGCAGACATTTGTCACAGGCGGGTCAGATCGTAGATAGATCTCTGAGACCGAAGACTCTCTGAGCGGTGTCGGGGGTGCCGGTGTCCGAGGTCGGAGGGTCGGAGAGGGGCACATATCCCACGGTATTCCACCGATGGGACGAGGCAGACCACCCAGGCCCTCCATGCCGACTGATGGCTGAGTTTCTGGTGCATTCTCTTAGACCGTTGCACTCCTCCCAACTCCACATCAGTCCTACTTGCACTCCTCCCCCAGAACACCTCCTTCCTGCAGAACACCTTCCGCCCCACGAAGCGCGGAACGTCCAAGCAGAAGAGGCCTCTGAAGAGGCCTGGGTTTGGGGGTGAGGGCTGTGTGAAAAAGGCAGACCTTGGGCACAGTTCGCAGGTCCTGAACCACCGGAACAGCTATCGCGCCTTCCAAGCTTTCTTAGGTTACAGCCTACAGCATGCGACAGCCGAATGATCCGAACGAATCCATCAACGTGCAGTCCGTGTGGCGGTTGGACACTGACAAGAGGTCCAGAAACGGCCTCAGAGGCCGCAGGATCGGAGGTCCAACGGAGAAAAAACCACCATCCTGTGAAGGGGGGGCATCGACCCCGGAGCTTCTCCGCTCCGACCAGTGCACGGGTCGATGCACTCTGCATGCAGGAAATCCCGTGCCACTGGAGCTTCGTCCGACGACTCCAAGGATGTGAAGATATGACCATCCAAGTCTTTGTGTTCACACGTGGAGACTGCTCAGAATGTACCACCACACTCTTCCCTCAACTAGAAAAAACACCCTTCGAAGCACTCCAAATCATGTCCAATTCGCACGATGTTCGCCACCTTTTTGGCACAAGACATGTCATTTCTTGCATCATCACGACCGACTGTCACCGTCGAGCTTCTCGACCGTCGACCCGTCGTGGAGTTGGGATCCTTTTTTTCCAACCTTTTTCCAGCTCAGAGAGTCCAACCCATCACAGTCCTCAGCTGAGGGGAACGGAACCCGACCAACCCATGCCGAGAGGTCGAAGCTTGCCCAGGAGTCCCGTCGCTGTCATCGAAGAGTGTCTTCTTCACCCAAAACCGGAGGAATCACCCCCCCCCCCAGTACTACATCGTAGTACCCCAATCAAATCCCCTTCTTGTTAACCCCCTTCCAGATGCCCGGACCTTCGTGGAACCGCGTCCGGTGGACTTCGGCCGGTGCTTTCGCTGGAGGAACGGCGGTTCCTTCAAACATCGGATGGCGAGTACAGAACACCGGACCTGCATGGAGAGCATGGTTCGTATGGGTTCGTATGAAAAAAAGGGAATTTGTATATTGGTTCGTAGTTAAAAAGGAACCATTGGACCGTCCAGGACGAAGAAGTGTAGGTTTTGCGGGTGTTGGCACCAACGGGTCCCAGAAACCCTAAAGGGACGTGTGTTGGCACCGGTTTCAACCAAGCCCCGAACATGTTTCAACCATCCGGCGACAGGGCATGTATGTTTCGAACCGGACAAGGCGAGGTATGAGGCGACAAGGCGACATGCATCATGGTGCATGTGAGGCTCTGGTAGGGAGGGCTATACCATGAACCGCTCGTCTGCGTGGTGCTTCCACCGCTCGCAAGCGCACTGCTTGGCCCAGCGCTGGGCGCTTTGGGCCCAGTGCTCACTGGTGTCGCTTTAGGTGCCAATGCCGGCACGTCGATCTTATCACTTGAAGAGAGATCCTGTGACATGGGCGTCGCACAGAGAGATCCGTGTCGCAGAAAGACTGGAAATCACAGATCGAAGACTTAGAATCAGCCTGACTTGACACGTCACAGATTTAGTGAGTCATGAGTCATGGCATCTGCGTGCAGTGTCTTGAGGTTTTTCACTGGAGCACACAACTCGTGACAGTTGGCACCTGAACGTTCAGCACCAGCTTTAGATGAGCTATGAGATTCTTTGTTGCCTATCATGCCAAACTCTATACCATTCAACAACTGCTAGTAAAAGTACCCAATTACTTCAGAAAGCAACTTGGACCGTTCAAGTAGGAACTCGAAACCCATGAACCCCGACCTCCTCCCCTAGGCTCCCGACCACATACAAAACACGTCCGGGTGCGGCGTGGGTCAGGAAGGCGTCCAACTGCTCCGGAGAGAGGCACGTGGTCCAGTCGCTTTGCATGGGATGAAAGAGCAAACCTGCAGCGACGAACCACTCGGATCGGATAAGGTGAAGAAGTGAAGATGTTCCTCACGTCCTCACGTCCTGAGATGTTCTCAACCTGTAGACGTTATGCAGGAGACTGAGTGGGTTGACCTAACGAGAAGGTCAAGCTACTACATGGTGGTGGGGCTCCTGCCATCCGTGCGTCTGAACATTCGTCTTTTTCAAGCCAAAACTGAATGTTGGTCTTGGATGGTCTTGGGGCATTGTTTTGGGTAAAAATCGCTGGAAACCTCCGGTTGGGTGACCAATTGAACCCCCCAAAAAGGCTGACCAGGTCAAGGATTCTTTGGATCAAATCAATCCAGCTCCAGATGCGGCTCCAGCTGCGAAGGGAATGGCTTGCCGCACACCTCTCGACACGCACCTGACGACACTCGGGGCCTTCACACTTCTGAAACTGCTTGTCCAGCAGGAGGAAGACGTCCGAACAGGAAGATTGAGCCATCACAAAGGGGTTGACAGAACCTGCAAGAGAGAGAAAGAGGTGAAACGACGTCCAATTCTTGCAAGATTGGAAGGGTGACTTTTTCACATAGCAAGATGGCAAGACATGTTCACCACATCTTCACCATGTTGAGAATGGACTACCTGGGGGATGTCAAAAAGCCTTAGTTTTGAAGCGACTCGCTTTTGACCCACACCAGCATCATTGCCAAGTCAGCAAGCAAAAACCATGCCTTTGGGGATTTGAAGCACATCATCGAAAATATCCTCAGCTGCCCAAATCTCCGTTCAAAACACGAAACTTGAGGCCGAGGGTTGCTGACGAAAGCTAGCAGGGCTGGGGTGAAGCGGGGGATCAAAACAAAGAAAAACGCCGCCTCCGACCGAGAAAGGTAAGAAAAACATATGCATGGAGGGTGTGCTGCTTGGGGCATGGCACTATATAGAATAGAAACCCCTGCCAGAAAAGAGCGACAGTTTTCTGGTCACTACTGATTTATGTTTCCCCAACTCCGTTTGACCCTCATGACCGCAGTGATGCAAAAGGGCAATGCGGGCCCACTCTGCCAGCGGAAATACACACGTCCCAAAAACGTCCCAGGGAGGAGTTGAACCCGCGGGGGGGGGAGCCCCGTACATAAGTTTTCACGCGATGCGCGAGAGGATTCCAGCCCCTCACTTGCTAAAGCAAGAACAACTATAGCTGGTGCTAGCTTTCATGAAAAGACAAATTGAGATCTTTGAAAGCCAACTGTCAAGTGCACCTGCTTGTGAAAATGCGAGATGTGAGTGTCAGATTCCAGATTTCAGTGCCTAAACGAGTGTGGAACAAGCGAGATCTTGAAACCAAGATTCATCAGAGGCGAATCTCAATGGTGCAGAGGCTTTGATGCCCATGCGAGCTGAGAGCGCCTTGTTATCCACATCCTGCCACAGCGCTCGGCTCAGAAGCTCGGGGCACCCATGAGACTGGCAGTGCTGACTCTCTGGATCCAATCAAGCACCCCAATGGATCGGGAGGAGGACTGCCAGTCCCAAACAAGTCGTGTCTGGGTCAGAATCTGATGTGGTGCCCGATGAAGAAGGAGGTCCACCCTGCAAAGGTACGCATCAAACGGTTTTGTTCGGGCGCTGGAGGTCCCCATTCCCGATTCCATATGGGCATATCTTGGGAGGAGACAAAAAAACCAGCTCCTCCTTGAAGAGAGACCACCAACCGTCAGGATCCTCCTGTCCGGGTGTCCTGTTTGGGAGGTCAATCGAAGTAGGGTAGAACGTCGAACGCCGAACGGATCGTTCCTGGAGGAAGCTCCCCACTCTGGTGGGCCTACTACTTCCTTGATCCATCTTTTCCTCCATTTTTCCAAGCCCTTGAAATCCACCTGACTGGGCCACCAAAAGAGGTCAAGTGACCAAGGACCCCATGCACTGGGGGACCCAACTGGGATACAGTACTCGAACTGGGGTCCTGAAAAACCTCACAGGAGCATCCTGTTCTGGGTGTTCATTGACCTACCCTACACATTCCTCTCCGGGATCTCCAGGTCCAGGACACCCAGGTCAATGCTCCTGGTCTGGTCTGGGCGCGCGCATCTACCGAGGCACGGTCTCCACGAGCGCGCACACCAAGAAGAGTCGATTCTTCAAGGGACCTCCGCCTGGAACGCCGGTTCCGCCGGTCGCGGCGATCGAGGTGGAACTCGGCCAGGCGCGCGGCGAACGGAGCCCGGAACTCGGCGCCGAACGTGGATCCGTTCGGGGTGCGCCGCGAACGGTGCCCAGCGCCGGGGCAGGGGCGCGAACTTGGTTTCTTGTTCACATGGGGATTCACCCAAATCGATCTGACAGCAAAACCATGCAAAACCTCCAAAACCATCACCCCAAAGCACAAGCAAAAGAGCAGGTCTTGGGTGTAGGGCCACAAAGGCACACATCATATTATCCTTTGTAAAACATCCGGGTCCTTCAACTCCTCCAAAGAACATCGAAAACAAGCCGCCCTTGGTCCCTCAAAACCTAGGGATTTGAGACCCCAAACCCCTCCATATGACTCAAATCCTTAGCCACGGGAGTCAAAGACCATAAAAAGAATGGTCTGACTAGTAACCCGAGTCAAGGAATTCCTTTAATTACTTCAGTCGGTCAAAGTCTTTGGACTTCCTTTCTTCTTCGAAAATCCAGACCACAGGCGCGAACACCGGCGCATGTGGAAGATCTCCGGCGCTGGACTTCCAACCATCGTTCTCAGAGTGAGTTCAGAGGTCTTCGCCCTGAGCTCTGACTGTTTTTTTGGGTTGAAAGAACTCCAACAGCTGGTAGTAAGGCTACAAAAAGCCCGATCCATTTTTCTCTTGATGGGTTTTTCCGAAAGGCCTCTCTGAAGTCATGTCATGTCATGTCCATGTGTTTTTCATCAACGGACGTAGACAGCCGTTGGACATCAGCCGATCTGACGCGAGCCTCATCCTTGGCTCGTCTGGAAGCTCGGTGGCGCTCGGTGGCGAACGCAAGTCATCCACGCCTGAGGGCACTTTGAAGAAGAGGTTCTTCGCCTGTCCTTTGCCGATGAACTTCTCAAAGGCAGTGCCCTGGCGAGGCGACGGTTCGCCTCTTCGCCTCTTCCTTCGTGCTTCATGACCGGGCCCCATACGGCTTCTGTTTATGCGGAATCCCCCGATGTTTAAAGTGGTATTCCGGTATTCCCTTTAATCATCTTTAATCCATAGGGATTGGGAATCGAATTTGGATGGTCTATGGCTCTATGGTCTAGAATTCTGTCCATTGGTCAGCTTGAGGCCGAGCAGTCAATCTTTTTGAGGAATGGGAACGACGGGTCCCACTTCGACCAGCACCTTTTGCATTTCCTGGTCCACAGCTCAAGGGAGAAGTCCTACTTGGAGGTGGGTTAGAATTTTGCCCTTACAAATCATCGGAGGTGATATCCTAACTTTAGAGGAATCTCTTCCTTTTCACAGGTCAACCAGGCTTCGGGTGCGGGTGACCCGCAGGGAAGCGAACTCACCCAGTGAGTCATGACTTGTGAACATCTCCCCAAGTGCTGAATAGGGGAGTATCCTTACAAGTTTAAAAGGACAATGCAAGGGGGGTTACAACATGATACACCCTTCCTTTGACAAGAGTCACCCACCCTTCCTGCCACACCGCATCTTGATAGCACAAAAACAGGTTGGTCCCTCCTTCGCTCAAAGCGGCACCTTGAGGTTCTGACTATGCACTTCGCAGGTGGGCGACAGCGCGTGCCTCGATCGGCATCGGGTGAGGGATCTACGAAGCCGTGCGGCATGGGCGGGCGACATGGGCCCAAGGCCTGTGGGAAGAAAAGGGTGATTTGGGTGGGTGTACCAGCAGAGGTTGAAGAACCCTAGTTCGACTATCCCAGTTATAGGTACCCCTAGCTGGGTTGCGGGTCCTGTTGTCAGGTCCACTGCCCACCTCGGTATGAAAGGAGCTGTGAGTGCGCGTGATCGACCCGGAGACAGTGTCTCCCATCACCAGAAAACCCATTCATGCCTGGCAGCCTAGAAGAAGCTTAGAAGAAGCCGGGCCTAGAAGAAGCTTAGAAGAAGAGGCTTACTAGATCTTACTAGTGGCTTGGGGGGGGGCATTTCGCCGCGTCGCCGGCCCTTGACCCCCCCGCAGCATCGAGACCCCCCCCGGTGAACTCGACGTTCGCTCTGCAGTCCGCAGGGCTGGAGCGTGGTGTGGGCAATGTTCCACTCCTTCGTTGGGACGGAGACGCGGCACGGGTGTGGCGGTGTGGCGGTGTGTTGGATCCGGTCCAGCTGACATCACGTTGGAGTTCTGCAACGTGAAGTGAAGAAACCGAAGCAAAACACTCCTATAGACCTTTGGGATAGTTCAACGATCCTTAAACGCTTCATGGACACCCTTTCCGTGTGGAGCTACGCCAGCTACGAGAGCAGGGAGGACCCCCAATCGACGACCATCCGAAAGGAACGCTCCGAGCGTCCGGGCGTCCGACTGTGCCCTGCTGTGTTTCACTGACAGGTGGAAAGGGAGCGGAGGAAAATCCCCCCCTGCCATGGAGGGAGCCTCGGATGGATTCGGATCTGGGTGGGCTAGTTCCCCTAGGGGCTCCTGGCCGCAGCTGGCCGCCCACCTTTTCGAAGATGCTTGGGGTGGGTGGATGCCAGGGGGGTCGAATACCACCTGAGGATCTGGGCCCACTGAGCCCTAAGCTTCAGTCCAAACGCATCCAAACAGATCAGCTCCTGCTCCGTGACACGAACACCTTCCGAGACCATTGGCTTCTTCAGCTCGCCCCGAGACCAGTCGACCCAGGGAGACGGGCGGTGGAGGTTCGCGGTGAGAGTGAGCTTCGGATGTGCAGGTGGGGAATCGCAGCGGGTTGGAGGTTCCAGGCAGATGAAGACCTCCGAAGTCCGAACTGGACGAGCATGGGGTTGCCTTCGTGAGCGAAAACACGCACACCTGGCGGCATGGGGGTGAAAAACCCGATGCCATGGGGTGTCTGGGAATGGATTTGGGAATTTGGGAAGATAGATCTAGAGTTTGGCAAGCCCAGACTTCGATGCTCCGACCAGCTTTTTTGTGCAAGTGTCCGATAACTTTGCCAGCAGCTCATCTTTGCCAATGGCCATCGCAGCCAATTTCTTTTATATCAATGCTACAATGTTGCCTCAATATGTTGACTAGCAATCTCCAATGAGTTCATCTTCGGCCACCTTATAAGAACGTCCATGGGAGCCATAATCCTGCTGCATGCAAGTCACATGTCACGCACATGTGACATTGTCACGCACATCTGACAGTGATGTTGCTCTCAGGGTGCTGGCTCATCTAGCGTTCAACATGGCTGAACTGCGGACTTTTCACATTCACCATGAACACCCACATGAACCTCCTCGAAGCTTCCTTTCTTGGGCTTTCTACGACCTCTCCTCCTGAGGTTCCAGCAGAGACGGGCTCAGTCCATTCGTTCCCCTGACCGGGACGGAACACCCAACAGACTGACGGACTTCCCAGGAGAGTTGGCAGAAGATTCAACCACAAAAACACAGAAAGAACAGAACACCATCCAAAGATCTCCAAGACGAAGTGTTCGTCCCTCCGACTCCAAGGCCCCCGAAAAAAAAGAAAGAGGGGGGGGATTTTTTTTTTTTTTTTTCGGGGTGTCTATATAGATAGAGCTCCGAAAAGGAGGTTATCACCGGGCTATCCATTCACCACCCCATAGGCCTTAGGGAGCCTTGGTATGGTTCCTTTCTCATTCGACACACCCGGAGGTTCCTCGGGACGTCCGACCTTTGGCGGATTCGATGTCGACACCGAGAGGAGGTCGACACGAGAACATCTCACTCCATTTGGGGTTGGTGGATTCCAGGGGTTCGGCTTTAGCCATTCTTGTTGTCCCACTGTTTCTGAGCCCGTTTCTTCATCTTGAATATGATGGTTTTGGAGCTTCCTTTCGGGGTGGACCTTCATGGAGACCCACAAGAAGAACAGGGAATTTCATGGGTGACCCCTTGGAAAATGCTGCTAGGCATACCTGTAAGACCCAGGTATATCGATGACTTGCGGTCCAAAGAAAAGGCGTTTGATTTCAGTGGTCAGGCGCGAGAGGCTCGAGAGGCGCAATTGGCCTCCAAGACAAAGGCTCGAGAGGCGCTAGCCTTGGTGGAACCTGGTTTTGTATGGCAAACACTGTTTGTTCGCGCTTGGAAACACTAGAGAAGGTGTTAGTTCCATGGAGTGTCTGTGTACGTTTTTTTGTATTTTTTTGTACTGGGATGAGTATAATAGATGGCACACCTGGACCTGACTTGAGTCGAAAAAGCGGTGGGTATTAATTACCCAGCGCATGGCCACCCTAGTTTGACGGACACCATCTGAGCTGTTTCAAACTGTTGGATGGTGCTGGGCTGATGTCATATCATACCAAGCTTCCCCAACGCGGCTTCAGAACAGGCGGAGTCCCATGCGACAGGCTTAGGAGCGGACATTTGGAACCAGTGGCATTGGAGATGAGGGAGTGTTGGCACCGTTCACACTGCCAACCTTGGAATAGAGGAGACACACCCCAACACTCCATGGCACATTAATCTACATTAGGATTGAAATTTGTTTTAATAGACGTGACAGCCACCACGAGGACTTGAATCTACGCAAATACCCTAGCCTTCAAAGGCCTTTAAAAAGAAGGGCTGACCGACCTGGCTTTGCAATATCCTGGGTAAAAAATGGTTGTTTGGGATTCAGACAATATCCAACACATCGCTGGAATCCCAAGGGCGTAGACTCCTCAGACTACTCCTCAGATGCGGACCCGTAAGGTCGTGCGGACCAAAACCGAAGACCAAAGAGACGGAAGAACGTTCCAAAGGACGTCTGCCACAGAACCAGTGCTGTTGGCGCCAAACGGACCGGCGCTGTTAGGGAGGAAGTCTCGAAAGGCACTACAAATTAGGAAGACCCGTGCAATAGTGATGGCCTCCAAGCTACTAGGGATGGCCTCCAAGCTACTAGCGATGGCCTCCAAGCTACTAGGGATGGCCTCCAAGCTACTAGCGATGGCCTCCAGCGATGGCCTCCAAG